GAAAATCCTTTTTACACAGTTTATTGTCCTTAGAATAACAATTTCTGGGAAAATAAAAACACAAGCATCCATTAACACACAGTAAATTTTTGGTTATGAGCCTGTTGTGTTATTTCTCTGTGATGCTTGCCAAGGCTCTTCCTTTCCCTGTAATTACTGGATAGAATCACATCACACATTAACGTGAAGCAGGCAGCCAAATATGATTTATTCCAACACTGAGAATTTATAGCCTGAACTATGTTTTGTCCTTATATCACACTGAGATGCAGTTTCAGTCAAGCTTAGCCAAGACATCCATATGTTTGCTTGACCTCACTGATTTCCTGGAGTGAGGGCTGCAACACACACACACACACACACACAAACACACACACAAACACACATCTTCTTATTTTGCAGGCAAATGTTTAGAGATGTGGTCAATGTTCTGGACACAAGAGATTCTGTCGCTTCAAGTGTGTTTTGTCCCTGATCATTTCCTAAAACACCTCACACCGGCGCAGAGATAATTACCAAGTGTGCACGCTGCGAGGGACTTCTCTCTTCTTCTTTTTCTTTTTATGCGCACCCATTTCTAATTATGCAGGGGAAGTTAAGGTCTGTTTTTCATAATTCATGTTTTGCTTACAAAGTGTAAAGACTGCTGTTCTCCAGACCTTTCCCTCCACCACCCACCCACCCACCACCTCCTTGTTAAACTTCCGTGTTGGAATCGAGTGTAAACTGATATTTTTTAGGTGGAAAATTCTCCTAGCTTTATGAGTTCCTGCACAGACAGCAGCCATGAGAAAATTGAGCGCATTTTGCTCCAGCAGAGTGAGGAAAAACTGCTCATAAAAACAGATTTTTTTTTTTTTATGATTACAATTTCAGGAACGCTGCCAGCTACTATCACTGTGCGCTGGCACAGATGCTCATTTAAAGTGATTGTGGAAGGGAAATATTTTCAATTTATGATTCTTTAGTGCAGCGTTTGGGAAACACGATTGAATGTAACGGTCCTTATGAAATAATCAAACATAATATGCACAGACAGAAGGTTGCAGCCCACACACACACATGTACACACTCTCCCTGCTGTGATGCATGACATAGTAACTTCACGCTGCATGGAACGAGCAGGAATCAGTCTTTATAAAGATTTAAAGGATGGTTTGCCTGCAAAGGTTAGAGCAGAACTGTAGGTTAGTATCCATTCCCCCAAAGGATGTGAGCAAACTTTAAATTCTCTGTGAAATCTGGACACATGGAAATTAAAAGTTGATATATAATTAGTTTGTTTGGGTTGTGTTTGTTTATTTATTTTTTATTTGATTATGTAATCATTGAAACGTGTCTTTGTCCCAAAAAAAACAATCAAGCATTTTGGTTTGACAATAGATTTATTATCGGCCTTCTGGAAATATGACAAAATCTGCTCTTTCAAAAATATATATACAGCGACTTGAATAATCAGTTTTAGTGATGTAGAAAGCTGTGTCAAATTTCTGTAGTGGCGTGACTTCTATCGAACAAGTAATTACGACTGACTACAGCTGGTGACTCCTATGAGCCAATTTAACTAGGGCCCATTTCATAGAAGCCTTAGACCCAGCCACAAACACTGCAGTGGTAAAATCTGACAAGCTCAGCAAAGAGCTCAAAAAGCAAGTCAGTGACTGAAATGCATCAAAAAAGTCACTTGGATCCCTTTCAAAGCAGCTACAAATCCCAAAATCATCTGTTCAAACAACTGTTTGTAAGTATAAAGTGCATGTTACAGTTGTGTCACTGCCACGATGAGGAAGAACACACAAGCTGTCACCTGCTGCTGAAAGACAATTGGTCACGATGACACAGAGTCAGCCGATTATCACCAAAAAACAGGTCTGCAATTCATTAAAAACTGCTGGAATCCAGGTGTCAGTGTCCCAAGTCCCGCATGTTTTACATCACCATGGCTCGACTGTAGTTTTCTGCTGATCACATGGACAAAAAAAAGGCCTTCTGGAGGAAGTTCTGGGGTCAGATGAAACAAAAAATGCACTATTCTGCAAAAATAACCGGAAATATGTTTAGAGGAGAGAAGGTGATGCCTTTAACCCCAAGAACACTATGACTACAATCAAACATGGTGGTGGTAGTAATATGCTCTGTGGCTGTTTTGGTGCCAGTGGAACTGGTGCTTTACACATGTAAACAGAATAATGAAGAAGGAGGATTACCTCCACAATCTTCCGGAAAACCTAAAATCCTCAGCTGGAAGGTTAGGTCTTGGAGGCAGTTGGTTCCAACAAGACAATGACTCCAAACATACATCAAAGTGTGAAGAAACAATAATTTGTGTTAAAATTAGGGTTGTAGACTGGTCTTCCCAAGTCCTGACTTAAGCAGCATCAAGAACCTCTAGACTGTGGTGAAGAAACAAGTCTGTTTTAGAAAGCCGACAAATCTAGTTCAACTGTAGCAATTCCATCAAGAGGAGTGTTCAGAGATACAACCAGAAGCTTCCATAAGCTTGTGGACAGCTTCCAGAAGTGTGTAGTTGAAATGAAAATGGCCAAAGGGATGTTTATCCAAACGTTGCTGTATGTATATGTTTGACGCAGAAGATGATGTCATACTTTCAGAGGGCCTATAATGCCAATGAAAGAACAAAAATGCATGATTGTTTTTGTTTGTTTGTTTGTTTGTTTTGTTTGTTTGTGACAAAGATGCGTGGGTTTTAATGATTCCATCACAGAAAAATCAGGGTTATAAAAGTCAGAAATTAAAACTGCCGTGATATATATGGTCTTTACAAGTGTGTATAAATTGTTGTTTATGACTCGACTACATAACTGCAACACTGGATTTGTGCTATTTCATAAAACTCTCTCTGCCCTCATCTATTGCCCCTCTCAACTGTTCACTCTCAAATATAGGGCAAAAAAATGGCTGGGGGGGAAAAAAATCTTATCAACCCCCTCTGGTGAAAATATAGTTGTTGTTTTAACCTTGTTAGCATGTCATATGTTTTTTTATATGCTGTTCAAATATTTATGGCTTAATAACTCCAGTATTATAACTTCATGTAGTATACAGCAGTTTATAGTGTTTGACTGTGCAGTGGTGGAGGGACTGCATTGATCTGGACAGGGTTATTTTCATTGAAAAAACAAACTTTAAAATATCTTATTTTGATACGAAGAGAGGAAAGTTTAGGGGCTTAATTGAACAGAAGCAGAAATTCACGAAAATCTGAGTCTATATACCTCCATTATCTCTCTGAGTAGCTGCACTTTACTGCCATTCCACTCTTAGTTCTGATTTAGAAGCGACAGTGTACCACAAACCCTTTGACCAATCCCAGTATTGCAGCGCTGTGTGTATACAGTACGTTGTGTACACATAAAGAACACTCGCAGCTGGACGCACAAATTTTCTTCCAAAAGAAAATTATTAGAATTCATAGTGTTTATATTTCTTACAAAACCAAGGACAACAGGGATGTGTACAAGAATGTGCAGAAGCAGCACAGCATGAAGAGCTCAGTGAGGTTCGTTACAGCAGCCAGGGAGCGATCAGTGTGTTTGACCAGCAGCTCTCCTCCCGTTCACAGCATGTATTTTTCCATCACACACATAAATATCCATCTTATCAAATTTTGTTAAACCCAACGCACCTTGAAAAGAAAATGTAACGTGAGATCATTTCACTTATTTTCACGCTAATTAAAGGCTTTTTGAGAGGAGTAGGGGTATAGTGAAATCATTTTGTATTTTTCTCTTGACTCAGATTATATCCGTCGTTTGTCCTGACATGGGAAAGGAGGCTTTTTTTGAAAGAGAGAAAAATACTGGATTGTTGTTCAGTTACCATACAGTTGTAAGCAGTAAGTAGTCTTCATACAGCATATAAATAATATGCAAGGTCACTAAAAATATATTTTTCCAATCTGTAAACTCTGAGCCCTTGTTGAGTAACATCAGATTAAGGGGTATTTTGGAGTATTTAATGGTGTGTTTTGTCAATGGGGTTGGAATTTGACATACATCTTTGACTATTCAGAGTCACAGAATGCTGAAAGTAGTGCGCTTAGGGATGAGTTCATGTTAAACTAAATGTGGTGATCTGGTAAATCCCACAGCCTGGGTTCAAAAACAGGGATTCTTTCTCATCTAATGTGAGCCCAGTTAACAGTGCATTCAACTAAATCAGATCATCATGTTTGAACACCGGCCTCATCTACAGCTGCTTTTTCACACTGTTTATATCCTGTTATTGAAAAAGTGAAGAATTAAAAAAGAAAAAAAAAAAAAAATTCAGATTGAGAACAGTAATTTGTTTTTCTCTTCCCAAGCTTTTTTTTCTTTTTTTTTTTTTATAATAATGCACAGCAGAATGTGTATTACTGTATGTGCAAACACAAACACAAAGAGGAACAACACACACGCACACACACACACACACATACATGCGTACAAGTAGTACAGGTAATTTACCCATACTGCTTTCTTCCGAGCCAAATCATTCCTGTGTGATCGACTTTTAAGAATGACAGTTAGATAAATGGACTGTAAGGCACGTGGCAGTCGTAGGATATTGTAACCTGTGTTTAATCTCAGATTTCCAAAACAAAAGAAAAATAATTTTTTACAATCCTTCTAACAGTGACTCTTGTACAACAACATAAATACTGTGCTGGAAAAAATGAATTTCCAAAAATTAAGCAGTTTTTTTTCCCTCCGCAGTCTCTTTCTGTAAACATTGAAAAATGCAAATCAAGTCTCCTCAGTTCTCGACAAGACAACATCAAAATAACAACAACTGTTCCATCTGTAAGGCTCAGCCGCCTCACTATGCAAATAGTCTCTAATGGACTCAGAGCAAAATGAAATCTTTCTTTTTTTTGTTTGTTTCCTTCTCTTTTCTAATCCGTTTAATGTTTGAAGGAGTGAACAGTGCTCAGCTTTAAATCCAGAGGGGAGAGGACAAGTGAGTGAGGGGGTCAGGGCTGTGGTGAGGGGCTCCGTCCATCAGAAGAGGCTGGTCAGTGTGGTCTGTGACGGGCTCCGGCACTCGTGGACGTCCATGCCGCCCGGCACTGAGGTTAGCACCGAGGTGACGGTGGGCATGGTGGGGTTGGTCAAGTCCGTCAGGGTGGTAGGGGTGCTAGAGGGGCTCATGGAGGCGTTGGAGATCTCTGAGGCTGGACCCGACGGCGTTCCACCCTGTAGCGTGGAGCCGTCAGACGCTTTGTCCACCCCCGTGCTCTCCTGCCGCAGCAGGTTCCTTCTGAACTTTGCCCGAGCATTTTGAAACCAGACCTGCAGAAATAAAATATCATAATAAATAAATAAATAAATACAATGATGTAAATATAATAAATAAAATTAATTACCTACTTAAGAACAGCTTAATGGAACTTGCTACCACAGATTCTAGAAATGACATGTGTGATGTGTGTGTGTGTGTGTGTGTGTGTGTGTGTGTGTGTGTGTGTGTGTGTATACACATATGTATGTATCAGCACAACTTTACCATTCAAGCAAACACGAAAAAATAAAGATATTTAGCGGGTGCTCCTAAAGGTTCAGTTCAACCTATTTTCTCATTCACTTAGATGTGCAGATAGTTTCACTTCTTTGTCCAGGTTTTCAGATATCGGTCTGGATAATCCATAGAACACTCCGTCAACTGCTTTCATTGGAACTATTTCTTTTAAAGCAATCCTACTAAAAACCGCAAAACTATCCAGAGCCACTGAGACACTATTTCTGGACAGACACATCGGTGCTGAATTACATAAATGTCTTTTTCAGTGATGTCAGCACCACATACTAAACTGCACTCATTTCCATTGTATTGGACTGGAGGCAGAAGTCTCACAAGCACATATCTAATAACCTGGAAAAAATATATCCACATTGTTGGACACAACGAGCGCTGAGGAGCAAATAATTTTGTTTAACCGACCCTTTAAACATCTCGCTGCCTTTTCTACTTTGTGTCGTTAAATGAACGCCACTCTGCCAAGCATTTTAAAAAGCATATTACAAGAGGTTTTATCTTCCAGATAGCCATTGATGACAATGCAGATCAAAAATTCTGTATAAAAATTAGGTTTCTTTCATAAATGTAATGAGTCAAAATGAACACGCATCAGTTCCTGCAGCAGGTGAGTTCAGGTGTTTCAGCTGCCACACTATATATCAGTAGTAAAAGCAGCACTAAAACAAACAGTCTCAATGCTCAGGCTGATAGATTACCTAGTAGGACCTAATTTTTCTACTATAGCAAAAGGAATGGAGAAGTATGGCTGCCTGAAACACACTAGGTTGACGGTCTATGAAATTTAATTTGTGATGCTGATGTGTTCTGTCCGTTCTACGGCTTCATACCCCACCTGGACTGCTTCAGAAATGTTTCATCCTGCTGATTTGGTAATTGTTCTCTGTTTTTTTCATGTTTTGACACTCATGTAGTAATGTAGTATATGACCAGAAGTCCTTTATTTTAAAAATCCACCAATGCTATATGTTGTTCCAGTGTCTGACTTCCTGCTGGCTCGATCAGCTCACCTCAACTTGACACAAGTGCTGTCCAAAATAGACTAGACATGTATTTTTAGTGGATAAGAGCGGACAGACACTTCTGGGACGCGCTGCTGGGCATCTGGTGGAATCACAAGCAACGTCTAGAGTGGCCACGAATGGAGAACGGTTAGCTGTGAGGTTAAAAAAAAAACACTAAGACTGCCCTCAGCAGAAAAAAGCGACATCAATCTTTTGTTCAGATGCATAAATAAGGCATATTTTTATGTGTTCCTGACAAGCACCTTAGCAACCACATCAGGAGCAAAGACAGAATTCATGTGATGCTGTAATAGAGCCTTAAAACCTCATAAGTAGGAGAACATGATGGCCCACATCAGAGACTTGACGTGTAATAATTACTTTTAAAAATGTATTCCATTTTCTGCTCACAGTGATCATTGGCACCTTTTATCCATGAACACTTTAATGCCTTACCTTAAGCTGCACTACTCTATATTGTTGTGTGGGAAACTGCTCAAATCACAATATGAAAGGACTAGTCACAGTGTAGAAAGTGCAGAGAATCATCACGGGACGCTCCGGCTTCCCTTTATGTTTCTGTGTCTTTTAGCTCATTGTTTTGGTTGTCTGGTTTTACTGTCTTGGTTCGGCCTCAGCACTCTCATCAGCTCAAAAGCTGTCATAAACCCATCGTACAATGACTGCTTAGCACCAAACAGAAAAAGCAACAAGGTGATGATCATCCAGAAACTACACCAAATGTTTTTCTATAGATAGTGGAGAGTGCATATTTGACTTAACTAAAAAAATCAACTTCAACAGCTTCTAACACAAAGTCAAAAACTCCAACATTCTACTGTTTGTAAGGCCAGAATGTGTCAAATGTGTAAGATGAGTTCAGCCTTTGAATAGCGAAAAACAACAACCAAAAAAAACCAAAAACGTTGATATCATTTAACCGAGTAGTCACTTGAACAAAAATCATGATCTTTGTGTCACCCAAAACAAAATGTTTGTGTGGCTAAACCTAACACAACCTTAACCTCAAATGTGGCAAATGAGGAAACTGTCTCATGACTGAAGCATTACACAGGGATCGGAAATTGCTTATATGAGACATTTTTAAAGGCACTAAAAAAGTGATTTGTTGTGTAGTTTGTAGGACTTGGGAAACTTTAAAGCAAAAGGGCTAAAATATACTAAAAAAATGATGCGGTGGCTGATGTTGCCAAACCCCAAGCAGACGCAAATTATCTCCACCACCTTCCCCTCCCTCCATTTGCTATCAGTTAAGCGCACACACCAGTGAGCATCACCTTGTGTCTGTTGAAAGTCTATTTGCAAATGCTCTGACTGGAGTCAAGGATAAAAGAACACTTAAAAACACAAAGCCACGGCACTCTTCTACTGTGTATAAAAGTTATAAAAGCCTTTACTTTTCATGGCTAGTCACAGAGAAAGGGGCCACAGGAAGACGAAGCCTTTTCTTTTATGTTTACACATGAAAATAGATGGCCTTGGCTTTCTGTTTTCGTTAATCTTGTGAATAAAAAAAAATGGACCTGTCTGCAGTGTGTGTGGAGATAAAAGCAGCTATGATTATCATCATTATTCTCATGTTTGCAATGAAATGAATGGTTTCCTCTTCAGTTTACAGAGTACACCAGGAACCTGTTCAAGAATGACCCTCACCCCAATTTTGGAACCAGCGTTCTGCTCCTCAGTGTCACTGATGGTCATTTACTTTAATTTCTTTTCCACTAATAAAAAGTAGTATCTGTGATGTGTTGAGAGACTGAGGCGGCGGTCTGTGCTGGGTGTTGGAGCGTGTTAGCGACGGAATCATGATGGAGCCATGGGAAACAGGCAGCAGCAGAGACGCTTCAGCTGGAATAACAGGCATGAAAACTCGAACGCATCAAAGCAAAACGACTGCTTTGTTTTCTGCAAGCGTTAATTAAAGCAGCGGGATGGGGTTTTTTTTTCCTTCTCAGAAAATTTTTGATTCAGAAACCTTTTTGTCTCATTTTTCTTCTTCCAGTACCCCAGATAATTTGCTGTCGTCTTTTGTGAAAATCAAACGCTCTGTTGTGCTTTTTCTTTCTTCGCATGTATTACAGAGCTTTTTGTTTTTCATCCCTCAGTCATCACCATAACATCACATCATCCACTGAAATACATTACATAGAGGGTTTTGGGTTGTTTTTTTTTTTTGATGGTTTTGTTTTTATTTGCAGGTAATTTAGCATTCCAATATTAACACACATACTGACTATAAATATTCTGTCTTTCCTCAAGGCAAACAGAAATTCTGTTTCTTTTTAATGCAACTTTTTAAGATCATTTCTTTTGACTGTGTTTATTTAGAATGGAAAAAAATAAGATCTGAAAGAAAGAAAAAATATAATTTCTGATTTTCATCCGCCTGTTTTCAGGAATTTCACTGGAATGAAAAACAGTACTGACTTAAAGCAGCTGATTTGGCTTCTCTCATGAAAACATCACTTCATATATTTTACCATTGGAAGCAGACTGATTTGCATTGGAAACAAGTGAAATTCCTTCACCGCTGTTGGCATTTGCACCATTTTCCTCCCCCCTTTAGTAAAGGAAAGCAAGATCTCACAGTGAAGTGAGAGGCAGCAGGGGTTACCTGTAACACCCGCTTAGTGAGGCCAGTCTTCTGAGCGAGCTGCTTGAGGTCCTTGGCGTCTGGGTTATGGTTGATGGCAAAGTAAGACTTCATGGTCCTCAGCTGGTGGTGCTTGAAGGACGTCCGCATGCGCTTTGTCTTCTGACTGGAGCTGTACTGGGAGTCCCGGTCCATAGACTCGCCGTCGTTCTCGTTACAGCTCAGTGCTGCGGGGCCAACAAGGAAGAGAGGGAAGACTGGGTGAACACAGGAAGGACTCATCATCACCATCATCATTTCATTCTTCTTCCGCTGAATGGCTCTTGCATTGTGTCAGGTTTTTTCTTTTTTTGACATATTTTTTAACCTGAAGTTGTCAAGACCCCAGTAATCAAATAATGATATTTTGGTAAGAGAATGAAAACAGCTCCAAATGTATAGATTTTGCATTTTAAGTATATTGTGTTGGCACTTTTTTTAAAAAAGAAAATCAAAAAAAGAATCTCAGAAAACTACATCAAGTGACCCGATATGAAGCCTGACTCTGATGTTGCCTCACAACAGTGTCCATGAACAAGACTAGCCAGAAAGAAAGAAGTTTTTTTTATGCGATTCACACTGCATTTTCCTCATATTGTTGTTGTGCTCATCTTTCTCTTTAACATGTTCAATTAAATTGTTTCTTCTCTTCATTTGAGTTAATAAAAATCGATAAAAGTGACACTGCGACCTGACAGCTGCTTATTCCAGCTGCAGATCATCCTCCTCTCCTCACCTCGTCTGTCTGTCTGTCTCTATCTGTTGTCTTTCTATCCTGGGAGGAGGTGCAAGCCTGGCTTCACCAAGCACACACACACACACACACACACATACACGCACGCACGCACAACAACAACACACATGTATTTGTCCCAGCCTGCAAATTTCTTGGCAATATTCAAAGTGTTGCTGCATGCATAACAGTTCGTATTTAATATCAGAACACTGCAAATGATGAATATGAAGTGAGTGAAAACCATCAGAATAACACTTCACTTAATTAGCCCATACACACCAGGCAGAACAAATGCTGCTTTCTGGCCAAAGCATATGCTACAGTGTTTTAACAGAAAAAAAAAGCAGCTTGTACATGGTTTCCTGCTCTACTCCTTGTCCTCCTGCAGAACTCCCTGCGTTGTTAGGACCTCGGAGCTGATGTGTGCAGCTCCAGGTCACCACATGTTCTCATGTGATTGTTCAGGTGAAGCTTTGATGTTGTTTCTGGATGGAAACAGAAGAGGGCGCACTGCCTCTTCACTCTCATCTCTCAGTCTCTGCTTCACATTCATTTTCTCCACAGTTTGTTTTCATTGAATACCCACAATAAACAAAACAGCAATAAATTGTTACTATGAAATTAGCTCATTCATTTTCAAGATGGCATCTTGTTCAAATTTCAAGAAAAGGGAATTTTCTTTAAGCAGAGTCCATCACTAAACAATAATCTTTTATCTTGTTTTTAGAGCAGCTCCACTTGCATCATTAAGTTTAAAAGTGGCTGCATCTTAAAATAAGCTAAGTGATGCTTCTGGATCCTAAAGAAAAATGAAAGAAATAAGCTTTGAAAACAAATACAAATCTAAATATTGCACTTGTTGCAGCTTATTTAAAGTAAACTAACTGACCTATTAAAAAGTTTGAAGAAATTATTACAGCAGAAAATCTTATTTTGTTACTGTTTCTATTAGCACTCTCAGGTTCAGACACAACCTTTATTTTATAATCAGTTTGCTTTTTAGGTGAATGCAGCGAAAGTTAAAGTCAAACTATCCCAAAAAAAAAACAAAAAAAAGTGAGATTCCGACCGGATAGTACTACTGTTAGAAAGTTATTGTACTCCCTGCTCTCTCTTCCAGTGAATAACTCATCAAATCACATTAATCTGGCTGGTACACACCAAGTTTGGCCTGGTCCCAATGCAAAAAAGGCTCCAGCAGTGTATGTATGTGAGTGTGGTGTGTGTGTGGTTGGGAAGGGCTGTGGGTGGGGGGTGTTAGGGTCTGTAGATGTCTATGGAGCCTGACAAGTGGAAAAGGGCGAAAGCAAAAGCCGGAACATCAAAAAACTTCTCTTTTTATCCCCCAAAGAGGACATGGGAGGGGAAAAAATACAAAGTGAAACATCCACAGACGAGTAACAATGTTTTTTTTTAGTAAGATGATCATTTAGTAAAAAAATAGATCTAGATTTCACCCATTTAAAAAAAATTATATATATATATATATTTAGGGAATCTACATAAAGCTCTATGAAACATTAAATCTACACATTTAACATATTCAAGCTGTTGTGGCCTAAATGTATTTATTGCTCACGTTTCCATGTGTATTGATAAATTCTAGCCTTTCCTCTCTCTAACATATGCCAGTGTTTACCCTGCCTGGCCTCACGTTGGCCTCATGCTCTCCTCTCTGTTTATGAGTTGGTATTCAGACTTATTCATGCACAATGTTTGGCCTCCACACGAATATGCTGCTGTTATTTCTAAATTGTATGGATAGAAAAAAAGTTTATCGAAACCTAAAGTAAAAATAAAAGCTGTGTAAAAGGTCACTGTACCATGCGTCTGTTTAGAGGTGCTACAATGCATGAATGACACCAGGACGGATTGAAACTCAGGCATTCCGCTGTTACCTTACTGCAATAAAGTTATGATGGGCTGTTTGTATAAATAATACAGCAATAAAATCGTTTTTTTTTGTTGTTGTTTTTTTTAATACAGCCACGTTTTCCATGATGAAGTTGTAAAAGCGTCACCATTGAGGACAGCGCAGAGCCAGTATGAAGCCCTACAGGACGGTTCAAATCATTCCTCATTCATGAAGTCTGTCAGCTTTAATCAGAGCACATCACGCTTCCTGGCTCTTTATTACAACCGAGGAGCAAGTTTTAGCGGACAATGTTGATCTTTATCATCCGTATTAGTCCTAAAATAATTGTTTTGGAGGTAGAAAATAAAATAAAATAAAAAATAAAATCAGCATCAAAACTTGATAAAAGCGCGAAATATACACGAATGATGTGCTCTTTTTTTTTCTTCTTCTTTTAAACTTCAGTCAGCCCACTTTTTATGACCCACAACAGCAGCTGACTCTCCCTGTGTTTGCAGAAATGTCTTCTTACCTGCGTTGTAAGCAGCCAGCTCGGCCCCCGGCCCGGGGCTTTTCCTCTTCCTGGGGCGTCCTTTCTGCACTGTCCCCACGCCGTTGAAGTAGGATAGTCCGAGCGTGTTGGCCGGGCCCAGGCCTTTATGCGGGACAACGTCCGCGTGGTTAAAATGTGTCTGATATTCTCCCTGGATGAGAGTCTCAAAGTGCAGCCGACAGTACACCAGACTGTCCTTCATGCCAAAGTGGTCCCCGGTGGTGAGCATCTTGCTGCAGGTGGTGCAGGTGAAGCAGTTGAGGTGGTAGACCAAGTCCCGGGCCCGCATCACCATCTCCGAGGCTGAGATCCCCAGGTGGCACCGAGCGCATCTCTGCACCGAAAATCTTCTGCGGACAACACAGAAACGTTATCAGCGGCTGGACATGGAGCCGTGACCCTGTGAGTGAATCTGTGGCCACACCAGGAAGTATGCTGCCGGGCGTTCTTTATATTCAAACAGAGCAACTTTTACGCACCTTCAAACAACAGTACATAAACTTCCCCTGTGGCCTGGCGGATATATTGGATTATATATATATATATATATATATACTTAGACTGACTTTATTAATCCAAGAGGGACATTCAGTTGTTACAGCAGCAATATAGCAATAATTTATTTATATTTATATACGTGTGTGTGTGTGTGTGTGTGTGTGTGTGTGTGTGTGTGTTCGTTTTCCAAAGAGCCAATGTATCCGAAGGTTGTTGGAAAGGGGGGTTGTGGAGGGGTCATACTCCTCTAGAGAGCTGCTAACCTTTAAACTACTACTAGTTTTAGCAGCACAGACAATGTGGTTTAAACCCTTTCTTTCATTCATTCGTTTGCTTTTTGAGAGCAGCACTTGAACACTGTGGAATCTGGCGTAAAAACAGCTACATACAGATATTTCATTATCGCACAAAATGTTATCTGCAATGCCAGCTGCAGGTCCACTTTAATCAGGAAACACCGAAATTATGCCTATTTCTAAAATCTAACATTTTTTGAGGAAATAAATTAAGAAATACAAGCTTATTGACAGATTTTTCAATTAAAGTTATTTTAAAATATTTCACTCCTGTCCATACTTTGTGCTCCTTTAGCTGTACTAAATGCAAATATTCACCGAATTTCAAGCACACATTTATTTGGGGAGAGGACTGTCATTTAAAAAACACAAACAGCAGTGTTTATCTCGGGCACTTGTGGATGGAGCTCCGGGCCAGGTGCGCCCTCCTACCTGTAGTAATCCTCCTTGCAGTAGATGCTGCCGTCCTTACTGAAGCAGGTGAGCTCGGACTCCAGGTTGAGTTTGCACTCGCAGCACTTGAGGCAGCGCATGTGCCACTGTTTGTCCACGGCCAGCAGGTAGTAGCGGTCCGCGATCTTCCTGCCGCAGCCCGCGCACAGAGCCACGCGCTCGTTGGTCATACACGGCATGGACTGCAGGTCAGAGGCACGAGGACACAGCGTCAGGACAAAGTCACACACACGTGGAAAGATTCTGTGTGGCATCCTGACAGTAAGTCAGCATAACAGGGGAGAGGGAACAAACACTAGGAACCCCTGGTGCGCCGCAAGGCTGCATCTGCACAATATTACCATCGGATAAGAGCTGGCATACGGCAAGAGGGTAGAAACATTCTAAGGAAATATTCCAGTAGTTACAAAATATGCATAAAATGGTGAGGCCTTTTCCTATCACAGCCTTAGTAATAAAATGCAACGACATTGTAGTTATAATGTCAGTGAAAAATCCTTTAACAACCGCTATCTAAGAAATCTGAAATATTAAAATGTGTATTTTGTCACCATAAAGAAAATAATGGGCCACAATTACTCTGGAGTCGCTGCCGTGAATAATATGAGTTGCCCAGATACCACAGGAGGCTGTGCAAGATTTAATAACGGCATTATTCTGATATTACTATTAGTCACAGTCTAATGTAGAAAACAAAAAGAAGACATGCACATAAAATGGAATGTTGCATAAAATCCCCACCGAGGTCCGTTAACAGAAAATGTGAGGTTACAAAAATAGAATAATATAAATGTTTATGGACAATGACGTCCGTGTTGCCAATTTCTAATTGTGCAAAAACGGTTGAATAAATAAAGCGCAGCTTTGTAATAGCTGAATGTTGTTTTGGAGAGGCCTGTAAAATAGACACCTACAGAACATAAATAGGCGCAACTCCACAAATCATTTGCAAATATTGGAGCAGAATTAAAACGTCTGTTTTCTCTCTTCCATCTCCTCTAGTTTTGTTTCCAGTGCAGTATAATTATTAATTCTTCCTGAACTTTCTGACCCACTGATTTCTGATTTTTAATGGATTGTAATATTGTTTATAAAATAGGAAAACAAAGACAGAATCTTAAATGAGTTTATAAACTTGTACTTTGTGCTGATTTTCTTGCGGAAAACTCAAATTTTCATTTTGTTTTGGAATCATTCAAATAACACTTTGGAAGGTGCGCTACTGTCCATGTTTAAAGTGTGATATGAACGCACCACAAAACGCACATTTAAAGAAATAAAAGGTTGGAATTTAGATTTATTCGTAATGTTTCTATTTTCTTAAATAATTGCACAGACTGTTGGGCTCCTGCTTCCTTTTGTGTGGAGATAAAACAAGTTTTAGATCCAAGTGTAGCTGCACAAATCAGAATGGCTTGGCCTGTTGGAGGAACTTTGTCCGCGTTTAAAAACAACTAAATAAGGAAGCTGGACTTTAAGTGCACACTTTTTATTGTGTGAATTAAGAGTAAAAACAAAGTGCTTGGAGCTGTAAGAGTGCAGCCACTGTCACATGTTTGCAAGCTGCCATGCTGCCAGCACTAACAACCCGAGAGGGCCGAAATGAATCTCGCCTACCGTCTCTGATTCCCCCATATCGATGGCTGAGCTGATGGCTGCTGACTCGCTCTTTCCTCTCCGGTCCATTTCTTCCACCACACCGTGCACGTCGCCTCCAGGGAGGCCATGGAAAAGCATCGTTGCCGCAGAGGGGAGGATATTATAACTGTTCTCTTCGGATCTGCAAGCCAATATGTCCATCAGAGGCAAAACCTTGCGCAATAATGCCACTCAGAATTCTCGATTTTTTAAAGGGTTTCCTTTCTTGCCGTGACAAGTGAGAAATCCAAATCAGGGAGGAAAAAATATGAGCGAAGAATTGGACACGTGTTCTCCACACTACGTCTCATCTGCCAATGGAAACCGTCATTCGAATTTCTGCAGCTCTCATTATTAATAAGCTATAATTAATTCATTAATAACTGCACAGATTCCGCTTATCCTTTTGGAATCTATTTTCTCTCAGGTGATATCGTATTTTTGGTTATTACAAATTGCTTTTTCTATGTTTTCTTTTCCATTTACGGTGAATAAACATACCAACTATGAAAGCCCCCGCTGCATGGGTCTCAGCACCGAAGCCTTCTCCTCGCTGGGAATAATGTTTCAGGATTTCGACAGTCTGAAAAGCATTGGCAAAATTCTCCCTTTTTATCTGCTGAACAAATTAGTAAGTCTGTACAAGTGGCACCGACAAAAGCTTTGTAGCAGCGTTCTACTGCATCACACAGGCAGGAAAAAATATATTTCCAAAAAAAAAAAAAAAAGAAAGAAAGCTGACAGAGAGCCCGTGAGAAAGGCTTCTTCCCCTCCTTCAGGTTCAACAGTCCAAGTTGATGCTTACGGCAGCTGATTTATGTCGCTCAAACTACTTTTTCTTTGCAGCTTAAAATCGAAAAAGAAAAAAAAAATCAAAACAGGCTTTGCTTTATAAAATCCCGCCGGCCGTTTGGGAGAGGCAGTTTTTCTTGACAGTAGTCTGTTTAGTTAGTGTTTTGTCTTTTGCCAAAGAGGCTGCATACATGTGCGTAACAGCAGAAGAGGAGGAGTTGGCTTTACGTTGACTGATGATAGGCGAGTGTTTGCTGGCCGCCCAAAACCGCCGTTCCTCCTTCTCAGGTCCCGGTTGGACTTTCCGCTCCTTATCAACGCGGCCCTGTTGCGTCACGACGCACCATTTATGTTCATTGGCTGTTCCGCCGTCACCGAACTGTTTGGCTATACTTTTACTGACCGGTCTGAAAAAGAAGCAGTCCCTCTCTGCCTCCGTTACCGAGACCACAGGCCACCCTTACTACCCCCCGACTCACCTCTTCATCTGTCTGCCCAGAGCCGCAGCTTGAACTGTCAGTTTTAACGAAAGGGAAGAAGAGTCAGACTACGAGAGAGTCTTCTGGGGTGTTTGGATCCGTGTGCGCGTCTGTGTGTGTGCGCGCTCGCTGAGGAGGTCTGCTGGGACTTTTACTCAAGTGACGCACAGAGAGGGTTCCACACAGCACCACACTGCTTCTGCTCACAACCATGTCACCAAGGGCTCTGTGCAGACCCTGCAGGGGTGGGCAAGAGAGCACAAAGTCTCCAAATAAGCCCTGCAATAAAGACACTGCTGTCATGTTTGTATTTTGATTTTTCCCCCTTTCCAATAGTTTTGATAAAATCCTGCAAAATTGAAACAATAAAACACAAAGCAACTCCGAACAACACCACCTTTCCCTGAAACTGCTTATTTAGCTTCTCACAAAACACCTCCACAATTTTGAGTTATTGATGTAGTTTCACATTCAAAAGATTTATTTTATGTATTTTTGTGGCCAGATCGAAAAGCAAGGCCCTGTGATGTCAACCAGGAAACAACACGAGATATCAACATCCACACATGGAGAGAGCACTTTATTGATAAGATGGGAAATTGTGCGTGAACACAACACAAGTGGGATTCAAAAAAAACAAAAAAAAACTTTCCATTAATGAGTAAAAAAAAATGTTGCACCGGTTCATGTCACCTCTGCATTTTAGGATCGCAGATGCTTTTTTTTTAAGTTTTTTTTTTTTTTCCCTAGAAAGTGCTTAATCTCTTGAACCTCTCTCTGTGATTTGATATCATTTGCAACCCAGCGGCTTCACTCATGTATTTCCACCCCCATACGGTGCGAGCAGTTTGGTAACAGCAGCGGGGGCTGCGGCGTGAGGCTGAACTGATCCCGGATCCGCTCATTCTAATTAGCTCTCTTCTCTTAATTGGGAGGGGTGGGAGGGTGGGGGTGGGGAGTGGACTTCGTCATCAGAGGACGTGTCTGAGGACCGGAGAAGAGGTTTGATCTCGCACAAAAGACGTTAGTTTCAGCGGTGTGGGAGAAAATTATACGTTATCACGTCACTGCTCCGTCTTTTGTTATTTGGAAGTCAGTTCAAGCAGAGAGCGAAATGATTCCAATCTATTCAACTATCCCACCTCGTGACTTTTTACACACAAGAGCGATATTTTAGCTGCAGATGTCAGACTTTATTTATTTCTTCTGCCTTCTTGATATTTCTAATTTCTTTTAATCTCTTCTTGCACATATACCTGTCCTCCCCCTCCCGCGCGTAACAGCTCGCTTTTAGGTTATTGTGAAGTTTTATAGCACAAATATGATGTTAAGCTCCTAAATCCTTATGCAAATCACCCTGTCTGTAATACCCTTAATTGAATACATGCATATTTATCATCTGCGTTTTCTATCTGCTATAAGGCTGGCTTTATACATTAAACATAGTGGCAGCGGGCATGTCTGGGGGCGTGTATGAAATATGATATTAGGTGGTAGTGTAAGATTAAGGAAGAAAAAAAAAAGCAGTTTGTATGTATTTGTATCTGAAGGACTGTCTTGTTTCTCTGATTTGACTGAGAAATGAATGAAGAAGAACGCAGAGTTTATAGAGGATTTATGCAAATATAGGCCGAGGTCCGCACCATATCTTGGAATATTCTCAGTAATGTGTGCTCACAATATTCACAGCAGAGGAGGAGAAAAGTCACAATATGATAATTAACAACAGTATCAAGTGTGCAGAGCTGCGCTGGTTAAAATAGTCCAATATTTAATTCATCTATGGTACGTTTATTTAAAAAGGTAAAACTGAATTAATCACTGTGCTCCCATTCTCCCTCCCGCTCTCTCTCTGACACACACACACACACACACGCACACACATTTTTTTTTTTAAACATGGGGGCAGTAGACTCACATCTTCAGCAGTGTGAAATAAAAACATGCCAGAAACTGAATCAAGAAGCAAACCATCACCAACAGCCGTCCCCTCCAGTCTATTGTCAGGGAGCCATTCTGCTGTATACATGCGACCTCCATCAGTGTAGAACTGCTCACTACACCGCTTTACAAAAAGGCCACCTCGCTGGATTTCTGCCATGTAAAAGTTGAGTAAGTAATTAAAAAGATCTGCAGCACCACTCAGTGCTCAACAGATTTCAAACTGAACAAAACTGATTCAGGATCTTTTTTTTTTTACAATCATTTTATAACAAATATTAATGATGCCGCAGCAGCAGCTACTCCAGGCCTGTTCTTTAGCAAAGTATTCTAAAGAGTTTGTTAAGACAAAAAAATGTTACTTTTGTCTATAACATTTGGCTGGTGCTATTAAAAAAAAGTGCGGTTTGAAGAGGAATTTATTATAAGTGTTTTATTTTATTGCAAACGTTGCAGGAAGTTTCCTGTTGGTCAATGTGAAAACCTAAACAGTGTTAGACTGGGCACTGTGGGACATGTTGTCATGTTAACCATCCATGTATTAAATGTCTGCTTGTGCTGCATTGAGTACAATTTTGCAAATTCATTACTGAAAATATGACCAATATTGGATTTTTAATTTTTTTTTTATTTTGCATACATGTGATCAAGTGTTTTTATTATTCAGGTATTTTTGATATTTGCAAGTATGTCACAAAAAAAAGACACAGACCTGAATCGAATCATTTCGTATTGGTGTCATGATCAGTGATGTAACCAGGAGTTTTAAATACTGAGGTCCCCCTAACAGCCCCAAAGATGAGCTGACCAGAAATCAACAGTAAAGTTAGCCATGAAAATAAAAGTCTCTCTCTCTCTCTGTCTATTTATATACAATATATTTATTTTATGTAGTAAACTTCTGAAGTATATATTTCAGTATATTTCTCAACCTGAGCATCCTTTTCAAAGCCTTTACCACAAGCAAATAAAACATAAAATCTTTGATTCTGCTGCTGATCTACAACTATTGGAGGTAAATACGCTGATATCAACAGATCCACTTCCAATGGCTTTGTTTAGCTGTAGACAGTAAAATCACTTCAGGTCGCTGAAACAAATACTTTCTCGAAAATATCTTCATGTAACATCACAGCTTCCTGTAGAATTCAGCCACTCCTAGCTCTACAAATCACGTGGCCGACATTGTTTTGAATATTGAGGTCTTAATAATTAAAGCTTGCCAGCATCACTGTCAAAACTATTTATTCAGAGTTTCCTCCTAAACTTTCCTCCGATGAAGGTGGAAAAGACTCGGACGAAACTAGGACTAATGAGCCTGTTGTTTGAGGCTCAAACACAAAAGAAATACACGCATTTGTCAGCTGTTACTCACGAAACCGTGATGTTAACTACAAGTCCAAAAATAATGACAAATGACGTAATGTCAGGTTCATGGTACATGAAGTCAGAGTAAAGTTGGGCAACAAGAAGGTTAGAGTGCCATAATCCTAACAGCCATTATAGATCTAATAAAACGACAGTGTGAGCAGCTAACTTAAACACTTGGTTGAAAAGATGTGCCCTTGTGTGTGTGTGTGTGTGTGTGTGTGTGTGTGTGTGTAAGGGGGTGGTGTTGCTGCTTGTCGACGACTAAAATGCTGATGCAGCTCCACTGATTACTCCTTGTCCCGTAATGATTTCCAAACGGGGCGTCCATCAATAACACAAATCTGCATTTCTCAGAAAAACATCACCCTCGTCAGGCTCCTGGCATCTTTTTGATCTCTCCGCGTTTTTTAATTGTTTTCTGCATAAAGGTAGAGGGGAGGCGTCGGGGTGCATGGCTTTAATGTGATGCTGCTGTGGAGGTGGGGAGTGGGTTACACACTCTCTGAGGAGAGTTCTGCTGTAATTAAGAAAGGGAACAAAGCATAGGAGACTAAAAACACATGAAAGGGAGGAAGCGGA